GATAAATTTTCTGACAAATCAGTATTTGATTCACGAAAAGTTCTAGCACTATCACCGTTATTGTTATTTGGTGAATTAGAAATTTCTTTGTTTTGTGAATAGGAATTATCTAGAGTCTGCTTTTTTGGCTAATCAGTGATTCAATCAATAAAATATAACTACAAAACGTTACTTCTAAAATCATTTCTATAATCATCACAATACCATTATATATAAGACTTACCGTTATTTTTGATGGATATTTCTCATCATCCAAATTTTCCAGATCTGGGATGAAAATTTTAGACTCAAGTACATCCATATACATGTATTGTAGTATCATTTCTTTAGAAGTTTCCTGAGATGATACCCTTTCAAAAATCGATTCCCCCTTAAAGGTTTCTTGAGATGGCATCACATTGTTTAAATTTTCCAAATCCATATACATATCTTGTAGCATGCTCTCTATAAAATTTTCCTGAAATGACAATTCTTTAAAAATTCCTTTTTCTTTAAAGGTTTCTTGAAATGATGCCCCATCATTCAAGATTTTCAAATCTGTGATGAAAATTTCAGATTCATGCTGTAAGTCCATATACATATCTTGAGGTGTTATTTCTTCAAAGTTTTCTAAGATAGCACCCTTTCAAAAGTTCATTCTCCTTTAATGGTTTTTTGAGATGACACTTCTTCAAAGATTTTATGATATGGCATTTTTTAGAATTTTTTGATTACATTTGGCTTTTGAAGATTAATATTCAGTTTAGGTAATATATTTGGTTGAAGTAATTCACTAATTGCAATACCTAATTGATAATAAATAAATCTAATTAATGAATTTCATATAATTTGATATAATTAGAAAGTTGTATTTTTTTACTAGTTACTTGAATATAAGAATTATTTAAAAGATAAATAAGTATTGATGTATTCTTCAATAAATAAGACATTGCTTTCTCACCAAGCCTACAAAATACTATTCAACCTTATACACTTCATGGATTTATTTTATTGTAATCAGATTAGATTATTTACCTAATTAAAGCTTTTTCAATGCTGGTAAGTGTCTAATACAATCTGTGCATTAATTTTTGTATTCTATCATAGCATCATTAAAGCCAAGTAATAAAACACTAGGTTGCTTTTTTTGGCTCGAGGCTGTCTTTTCATTAACAAGTTCTATAATAGCATTATTAACCACCTACCAATAAATTTTAGATTAGTTTTTTAACAAACTATCTTCACTTAGCAAATTTAGTAGCTAAAGCATACTTCTGTATATTCTTTTTTTGAAACACTTCCTAATAAGTAAGATGGAAAGGATCATTTGGTATCATTTACTTATAAGAGAGGTTTTTAGTAAGCTTATTTGGTTGCCACAATGCATACGTAGTAAGAAATTCATATAAGGTGAAGATATAACCTTGTTTTTCGAATACATCAAAAAAACATGAGTATGTACATGAACTTCTAAATTTCTTGATTGAGGGTCATCTAAAATCATGTGCAGTCACTTGACATATAGCCAATAAAATTGGTTGTTTTGATCGACACAGATTAGTCTGACAAAGGAAAAAAGATAAAAAATATCAAAAATACAAGAAATAAGTGCCTATTGTAACCTACCTTGGGGCATTAATAGGAAGGCAATTTTACTACATATAAAACCCACCCTTACCCTAACCCTACACTAACCCTTACTCTACACTAACCCTTATCCTACACTAACCCTTACCTTACACTAACCCTTACCCTACACTAACCCTTACCCTATACTAACCCTTACCCTACATTAATCCTTACTCTAACTTTAATTTAAAAATCAAAAACATATTACTGCATATGGCTTTAAACATATGTACCCTTTATTTGAAACATTTTTATTAATTTTTACTACATTTATATGTATTTCGCATGATTGATTAAAAAAAGAAAAATTTGTCAATAGCATGATAAATCAAAACATGAATTTTCTTTATTTTTATTGAAACAAAAAAATTGAATTTTTTTTTTTATGATCAAAAAGTATTTTTTAGTATTATGTAAGTTATTTATTTCTTGTTAGAGTTTTTAAATTTAGTTTGTTGCTTTTTACACTTGCATAGAGGCACATGTTGTGGTTTGAAGTTATATAAATTCACATAAACTATGGCTATGCAAATGTGTATAGCATAATAGAGGCACAGAATGTGTTTATAAAGTTTTGTGAATTTATATATATTGAGCTTTACAAACTAGTTTTGTGGTCAGAGGCACAGGATGTAATTTGAAGTTATATAAGTTCACATAGACTATGGCTATATGACTGCATATGGCATGATAGAGGCACAGGATGTGTCTATAGAGTTTGTGTAAATTTATGTATACTAAGCTCTGCAAGTTTGTTTAGCAGTTAGGGTACATATTGTATCTGTAGTTGTGTTTGAAGTAATCAAAAATTTTCAAATTTCTAGTTAACTTTTTTTTTTTTGTTTTTTATTAGATATTATTAATTACTTAGTTATGCCTTGATCAAAAAGTCTAGTAATATATATATGATTGATATGTATACAAATATTTCTGTTTATTGCAAAAAAGTAAGATGGTTAATAGAGTGCTTGAGTCCTTTCTTTAACATATTTTTCTTCTAATTCTTGTCTTCTCTTATATGTCTCAACACTACATTGAATCAGAGTTTGAACATTCCTCTTCTGTTAATAGTCTTATCACATGACTCATAGTGAGTTTAGTGATATATGGGTGAATGATTATGTTATGTAGTAGTGGGATTAACAATATAAAATAGTTTTTTTGTAGTACTTGTACTTTATTATAGGTCAGATATTTATTGTTATTAGAGAATTTTTTATTATAAAGAACAATACATATTCTTTTTCCAAGGTAAAAATGTCTTTTATTTATAATAAACATTTTATTTACATTTGTAATTAATTTCTTTCATAAATACAATACATTTCTTATATGTATTTTATATCTTAACTAAATCTAATAAAAGGCTGATATTCTATTTAATGAATATGTAGCCAAAGTATGTATATAGCAGAAGTATATAATATAAGTAATATAACATTTTGTTACTTTTCATATGACCTTAGATTGGGTACTTGTGACCTCAAAAATCAGGCTCACAATATGTAAGTATTACATATGTATGTAATGCATGTTTAAATGTAAATACATACATAGAGATTATCTATGTAGCAGATCTTTTAAAAGTATTTGATTACTTCATGCTTGTAATGTATACCTATGAGCCTAAAAAAAAACTTAACAATTACTCTTAGCAGCAAGTATTTTTTATTTGATATATCGATACATAATAATTACTACATACTATAAGGTGATTTACAGATTTAATTTACTAATGCTAAGACTAATATGTAAAAAAATCTATAATCCTATATCCTCTCTGACTCTATTGTTATGATTAGATAATTAACTTAGTCATGTGCAAACTCTTCAAGAACTTTTTCTGAAACTCGATGATGAAAATGATATTTTTTTACTGCAAAAGCAGCAGCTTTTTCAGAAAGTCCAAGTTTATAGACACTCATAAAGTGTTCAGAATGATGAGCAAAGTAATGAATTTTTGTTAAATCAACAGAGTCTAATGCTTTTGAAACAGCTTTCTTGAGGCCCTTAAAGATATAATTATAACTAAGTCTTGCATTACATTTTGCTTTAGCCCAAAAAGATTCAATATAATTAAGTTCACAATAAAACTTAGGCTAAAAGATACACATGTGACCGGCTGCTTTAATTACCTCTTGTATACATGATTTTTGTAATGCAAAATCAAGTTGAGCAGAAAAAATATATGTAGCACAACATTTTGAATTTTTAAAGTCAGACTTATTTTTTTTACATGTATTACACCATTTTATAAGGCCTTGTATTCATAAATCACATTTCTCAAGTACTTATTAAATTTCTTTAGGTCTTAATACACCCTTATTATCTATATATGTCATGATATATATAGAACCATCTGGCTTAATACTATTATGAAGAAGTGGCATTTTAGTATTATCTTTCATATTCATTCATGAAACCATTAGCAAATGCATTATGATTACTGCTATTATCAAACATAAATAGTGCTATTTTATTAGAGTGTGTTTGTTCAAATATTGGTATAGCATGTTTAGTTATCTAATTAATGATATTATTACATGTCTACCAAGCATCCTAATTTGAATCTGGATATATAGTAATACAAGCTTTAGTATGTTTAAGTTTAAGACATGAATCATTAGGAAGTAGACTGTTTATATAACAATCATACTTTGAAAGTTCGAGATGTCCAATTGATTTACAAATAAAATCACTAATATGAATACTAAGTCTTTGTGATTTTTTACAAAGTATGCATTTACCTATTAAATCTGAAACTTTATGTATATCATAATTAGTATAAAATGAAGTCTCATCATGAGTAACACAAACTATTTCATAAACACCATAAGGAAGATTTGGCAAAATAGCATGTTCTAAATTGTTGCTTTCATAAATAGTTATTCGGAGTTATAATTTATCCATTTTTTGCAAAAAGTGGTTTCTATATTCAACCACATCTTTACATTCATGACCATCAAAATAAATAGTCTTTAAATGACCTTGATGTTTCTATTCAAGTAAGTTTAACCATCTACATGCAGTCGATCTACTAATAGTTGCTATTCCTGTAATTCTAAAAGCAGGAATAGCAACATTTTTTATATAGCTTATAAAATCTGAAATAGTTAAGTTAAACTTATTTTTTTCCAAATACTGTTCAATGTATAATCAGAATTTTTTATTATATATAAGAGATTTTATTTTTGCATGCTTGTCATGCTTTGAAATTATTAACTTTCTATTGGCTTTCATTGGTTTGCCCAGGTATAAATAAGTTATGCAAATTATGAACCTTTACTAAAGCTTTTTGCTAAAAATTTACTTGCATACATTTTAGTGAAATGTTGATTTTGAACAAGATAAAAATATTGTCTTATTGTATAAAGGTGTAAAAAATCATCAGGTTCTGTTTTCAATAGTGTGTATAGTAATAATATAGAATTATCATCATTAGCACTATTATGAGAGGCCTTATTAGATGGACAAATGGCCTTATTAGATGAATAAATAGTCTTATTAGATGGATAAATGACCTTATTAGATGGATAAATAGGTTTTGATACTATAAGTTAATCATTTTTAGATAAAGCAACATTAGTCAATTCAACATGTGCAAAGATGATTTATTATTGGCAATGTTTTGTACATTTGTTTTGTTTTGGCATTTTTATTTATCTTGGTTATTTAAATTGCAAGTTTCGTTAAGATATATTATATAAAAAAGTTAAATATATAAAACTAATCTAATAGAGTTTGAAGTTTTTTATATACAAGTTTTACTACAAAATTATTTTCCAAATTTTAATAGCTTTCCTGTCTTGTTGAATATGTTGAAAGTATATCAGAAACAACCCAAATTTGTATAAGGGGTGCTTCTTCTTACATTATAAGTATATACATAGTAAAATTTCTAACTATATAATATAATTAAAAATTTTATTTTGTATATATTCACATTCAGAAGAAGCACTTCTTATACAAACTTGAGTAATTTATACAAGAAATATGTGCATCAATCAGATATCAATATATAGGCATCAATCAACAAGAAGAACTGTTAATATTATAGCAAGTGAGAGATTATATCCTCATACTTGAAGTTAAATAAAAATAATTTTATATACATATATAGAATGATGAAGTAAAAGATTATATCTATAAAAATAATTTTATTGTTAATTATCTACATCTGTGAAGGATTAATATATATGTAACATTGATGATTTCTCCTATTGCATCAATTAGCATTATTTCTGATTGATGCTTATATACATATGTATTGACACCTAATTGACCTTTTGGAACCAAAATCTGATAGCAATGTATGTATCGGCACTTTATCATATACAGTATATTGAAGAAGAAGCACATAAGCAAGCCTATTTCAGAACTTGCATACATATATATACATATAATAATATGTACTAAACTTAGATATAATAGTGGAAAAGCATTAGTAACACTTACAAGAACACCTTGCTAATTTCCTTGGATCTTAAACTCAGAAGATGAAAACATATTACATAGTATGAGCATCTTGCAATAATCCTCGAAGTAATAATCTTAGGTAGGAGGAAAATCATTAGCAGAGATACTTTACAATAATATTTCATAAATATTTGGAAATCTTGATGACAATCAGATTATAGAAAAGTTTTAGCAGATGTATTTTGTAAGAACATCTTGCTAACTTGGATTTTGAAAGCATCAATTTAGGCAAGTTTAAAGAACATCTATTTATATATGTATTCAGAAATTATTTTTGAAAAAAAAGTATTTTCAGCAAACATTTTAATATTGATAAACTTTTATATAAAACTTTCTAAAATAACTATAATTGAAAGCTCAATAGGTTTTCACTTAACAGCACTCATATGATATATCTTGATAAAAAGAGTTCAAAAAATTTTGGCAATAATTTCAGCAAATATGAAATTTACAACTGTTATTATTATTTCTAGGATACTTTATGAAAAATTAACTGAATGATTATTCTGTTGATTCAATAAATTATTGATTTCAGCATAATTAATATAATATTTATTATTTACAAAGATAGTCTAAAGCCTAATATATATATATGAAGGTGCTAACCAATTTGTAAATTAAAACTCATATAAAACAACAATTCAAATGATTTCTATTTTCACTAAAGTTCTATTTCTAATTGTAAATCATACACAAATATCTTTTAGGCTTTTTTTTCATTAAAGTCTTAAGATATTTTATATTATTTAGGTTTAATAGACATGATTTCTTACAAGTAGTAGAAGTTTTTCAATGCACCCATATCTTTGAAATTGGTTGGAAACTTGACTTATTGAAGATCTGCTAACACCTTAGTGTTTAGCAGCTGTTCGAATTTATAACTTAAAATTTTTTTAATATTGATATTGGTTATCTGGTCATTATCGATTAATAATTGTCACTGCAACACCATAAATAGAATCCTTACAAATTAATTATGTATATACATACATAGCATCTATGTATATATCTGGCTTTAGATCATCTTTGTAAATAATAAACATTACCAAAATCAATAACTTATTAAATTAACAGAATAGTTATTTGATTAGCTTTTCGAAAGATGTCCTAGAAATAATGATGATAGTTGTAATTTTGACACTATATAAGACTAATTTCAGCTGCTAAAATACTTAAATATTTAACTTTTTTATTTGCATTAATTTATGTATTTTAGATACATAAGTATAAAAAATTGATATTAATATATATAGAATATGTATATATATTTAAAAATAAGCTATATACACATTAAATTTATGAATATTGTACATAGCTTGTAAAAACTTAGTCAAATAACTTATGTGTATTCAAAAAAATATTAAAAAACTAATTGTAAGTATTGTTGTTTGAATCACTATTTTCAAGATTTTAAAAAATCTTAATACTTATTAGCCAAGGTGTGAATTATTTTGTCAATTGCTGAATTACTTTAGCCTATAAGACCAAAAGTGCACCTTGTACTAACTTCTGAATTATTTCTTCATTCTTAAAATTATTTTTACTATAGATATATATTAGAATCCAATATTACTACCTTAAGCAAATTGTAATATATATCACTAAAAATGCCTTTTCTTATCTTTAGCTATGTTTAGATCATTTGAATAACAGATCAAGATTTAATTATTTGTTCTAATTGCCTCCACATCAGATTTCACATACCTGCAATAGATTTTAGTAGGACTGCAAAAAAGATTTATAAGACCTATCAATTTTAAAGTAGAATTACTAATAGTTTTAAAGTAATAAAGTAACAGCATTAAAGTTAAGATTGAAACAGAACAAAAAATGTTTGTTCTGAATACATACGTATTTAAATGCTCAAGAACATATATAAGTAAATATTTAACTCTATAAAATATTTTACAATTTGGCCAATCAAATTTTAAGATCAGGCTGATCTTAAAATTTAATTGTCATTATGTATATATATACTATGTAACAAGATTTAAGGCTTTGAATTTTCAGGGCTAAATTTATTTACTTCTAAGTTCCAAAAGCCTGAAGTAGTGCTCTAATTAGGCTAACCTGAATGACTCAAAACCAACTCAGTTATAATAAATTTGTTAGATAGGTCATGATCCATATAGTAAATTCATTATAACTAGGTTGGTTTCAGGTCATTTGGGTCAACCTGATTAGAGCACTAGTCTGAAGTCTTGTTTCTTTTACATAACAGTATTTGAATATATACAAATAAAAGCCTATGTATTACTTTGTTTATTTATAAATCAGCCTTAATTCTTAGTATCCTTTATCATGCTAGGATTACTATATTCAGAAAGTTATTTTAAATTACATCCACCTTTTGTATACCTGAATTATACCAAACTAGATATTTTTGTATTGCTATTTTATGTGCCTAATGTCTTTTTAATCAGTTAACTTTGTTCTAAAGCACTTATTCTTTTCAATATGTCAGATACAGAAAGAGAAGTTGTTAGCATCTTTGTAAATCATTCTAATGTTGTAAGAAGAAGAAACTTCAAATGAGATGTTGTCAAAGAATTGAAAAGCATGGGCTTCAGAAGAGTCAATGCTTTAACAAAAGCAGATATAGAATTCATACATACAGGTTAAGTTCTCTTATTAATTATTTGCAAAGTTATAGTATATTTGAAATTATGCTG